ATATTTCTTCTTTTGCGTTGCAAGGTGTTTACAAATCTCTCTTTATTTTTTTCTTTTTAAACATATGTGCCTTCTGGCAAGGCACTGAGAGGAAAATGTTCCCAATGGAGGGCAGCCAAATTAGCAATTATCTGAAAAGGGACAAATTCTTTAATTCCAATAAGTTCCAGGTTTTGAATCCAATCTTTCAAAGCCTTATTTTGACATGGGCTAAGATGTGATATCTAAAAAAAAAAAGGTGCATTTTCTTTAGTTCTGACATGGCCCAACCATCACATTTGTTTTGCAATCCACGGCAGAATGTGGGTGAGATACAGAGAAGTCTGAAAGTGTTATATGGATACTTGTTTCAGCAGCAGATATTTTTGTGAACATATACTGATGATCATTACCTATTCAGAAAATAAAAAAAACAGAAGCTGAAGGTAATTCTATTCTCAGGAAATTTAAACTCTGCTTCTGCTATCGGATTGTACACCATAAAATGATTTCTCCCTGGTTTATTACCAGCTAAGCAAGGACTTTTTTTGAGACTCTACTGTAGAAATATATAATCCAGTCTAGAGAAACCAGCACAGTCTCAAATGTTGGAATTGGAAACCTGGACCACTTGCACCAATTGTTTTTTTTTTTAATTTTTTTTTTTATAAATGTTCATTAATCCTGCATCGCTAGATTAAATGACAATATACAGGAAACTCTTCACTCTTTAGCAATAAATAGTTCAGGCGTTTCTTATAGTTTCATCTAAGTGCAAACTTGCTCCCCGCAAATGCTATTAATTGCACTTTTTTCCAAATATAGAATAGATTATAATAAAAAAACAGTTGAACATAATTTTGGCAAATTATAAATACTGTATATGTTTGAGTTAATTTTGATTAATGGTACTAAATGAATCTTTATTCTTGGTTTAGTCTTTGTATTTTATGGAGATGTATTTATATGCAGTTTTTCCACTAACTTACATTGTTGCACTCTGCTGTAATTGTATGATGGTTGTGCCTCTGTGGCACAGTTTCAGATTGATGATCAGCAGATGTAATTATTCACTTATGCAAATGTTCTCAAAGATGGAGGCAGTTACTTCTGGACACCCTTTGTGCCTTTTTTTTGTAACAATATTCTGTTGAGCTGATTTTGTTTCTAATACTTGTGACTTAGCAGAGCTGTTAATGTACTAGAATTCAGGGGGTTTGCACTGAAGCTGTTTTTCCTAACTGAACATGTAGCTCAAATATGTATACCAGCAACAAATCATTATATTAGTTTTTGAATTGAAAAGTGTTCTGTATTTTTTTTTTCCCCCTCTTAACTCTGCTAACATTATCAAATATAGGAGATAAAGGCATCCTGGCCCAGATGTCACGAAGAAAGCGAATAGATTACAATCTTATTGATATGCATATGAGATTACTGTATGGAGCTGTTCTAATATTAGCCCCTGACTTGAGATTTGACACCCTGTGTTTTATTTTCCATGGACCTAAATGAAGTACCCGCACATATTACGAATTGTTGAGTATGTTGTCAAAGGAAAAAAAGCACACAGTGAATAAAGCAACTCTAAATAGAAGGACTTTAGGTGGAACAGTTTTCAGCACGGCTACCTCTTACCAAGAGAGCCTTGAGTTCAGAGTGTCTGACCATGGTTATTCTATATTATACTCGACTCCACACACACACACACACATCATAGCCTGTTGGACATGGGCAACAAACACCAAGTGAATCTGGAAAGATTTGACATTTAACAAAAAAAAATTTTATTTAGCACCATTGCAGGAAGTAATTGGTCACATCTCTGTCAAATAATTCAGGATGCTGAATTTGTCTTTTATTTTCACACAGCATCTATTTTTAGCACATTGAACTACTGAAAATGCATACACCTGGTGACACCATTATTATTTATGTCAGTGGTCTTTGTGGTGCTTGAACCATTCCGCTGAGTGCTATTAATCTATTAAACTCAGTTCAAGAACACAGACTCCAGTTTAAATTGCAAGGATTTGGAGGCCAAAAAAAAACTAACATTTCTATTAAAATATTTAAATGTCTGTTTCTATGGATGAAAAATAAATTTTCTGTTTTCAACCAAACAAAGAACATTATGTTTAAATTGAGGTAAAACTTTTTTTTCTTATCTCTCACACAGTAGGGTAGGGAACACAGACTGAAAACCCCTTTTCTGTGTTCTTATGTGTTTAATATATATATATATATATATATATATATATATATATATATATATATACATATATATACACACACACACACACACTGGCAGTTTCCTCCATGACACCTCTCCAGCTCCCCCTGTTGTTTGTCCCTTTAAGCACATGTAATGGATGATCTTTAGGGTCAATTTTAAACTACAGAATTTTGCCTTTATTTATGAAAGTGAGTTACCTTAATTTTGTGTAGATTAAAGCACAAGGTGTTCTACTTTATATAAGACAAAATTTAAATTTCTATTTATGACCACACCCCAAATTGAGTGCAACCTACTGACATTGCTCAGTTTTAAATTTGCTTTATATTTTCTGAACCTTTTTATAACCCCTTTTTTTTTTCTTAAACTGCAATTAAATATTGACTATGATGATATTTTATGCCTATTTTCAATATAAGAAATCAACAGATACCAAGACTAGAATTGTAGGAAGAGCTGCTAACTTCATATCCTAAGTGCTTATACAGGGTATTTTCTAATATTGATATAATGTACAGTAAACTTTAAGTTAAATAATTGTGGGTTCATCATTTTGGTCCATTTTGCAGCATGAACACAAAAGTAAAGTCAGAAGGCACACATATTATATCTTTTTAGTTCTGGGCCAAAATAAGGAACCACTAAAGCACGTTCATCTTACCCTTAGAGAAGCCTGCATGTATACTTGATATTAATAGATATCTCTCTGCTTTTTTTATCACTACTTGTGGCCAACGACTTGGGTGTTTGTGCAACGTCTTGATAGTCATTAGATAAAGCCCATCACATATTTTGGTACTCCTTGTAAAGAGGTACAAAAGAAAATCACCTTTTATTGCTATAGAATAATCCCTGTTTTTTTATGAGAAATGCACAGATGCATTACATATCAATATAATCAAGATATCTTTCAGATAATTACAAAATGTGAAACTCTGAGCTCCTTTACATAGTGACACATACTAGTTTGGATCATTGATTTCTCCCTCAGGGACCATCACTCAGCCTCATGCCATGTCCCACCTGGTTCCCTATCCATCCGTTATACAGGACGGTATTTCCCCTCCTCCTCAGGCACAGGGCCATACATTTACCAAAGTTGAAGTTAAGAGCCAATAAAACAACAAAAAATGTGGTTCCTCAATTAGAATATTAACGTTTAAAAAAGCTCTTGTTTTCTTTAAAGGATCAAATTGGCATTTTATGAACATGAAAAGATAAATGGTTTCATTGGCAAGACTGCCAACTTATATGCTATCAAACCTCTCCACAGAGGGATCATCCAGGAAAGGGCATGGAGGAGATGCAGAAGGTATCGAGTGTATCAGGACTTATAGCTTCAAAACCCACTACAAGTAGATATCCAGGACATGGGTTGCTGTAGCTATACTGCTATATATATAAAAAAGCTGTCATATATGGATGCACTTTATATACTGCACCTTTTTCTTCCTTCGGCACATTGTTCTTCTTTGACTATTTATGCTGTAGCGAGTAAATTTCTCCACAGTGAGATCAATAAAGTCAATCAGTCAATCAATCAATCAATCAATCAATCAATCCATTAAGCCACTCCTGAACTAGAGACATACAGAAGCAGAGATGGCACACCATGTTTTCTCAAGTATAAAGTCGCCCAAACCGTCAAAGGGAACGTTTAGGGCATTTCATTCTTAATTTTATTTTCCATCAGAACTTGGTACCTACCGACCCTGCCAAGAATACCTTCTCTAATTTGGTATCCTTCAACTTAAAGCTGCTCCTATAAAAACACCTGAGTTTCCTTACCCAGCCAACAGAGCTGCATGCTTATACTGTACATTAATACCACTAGTGTTGGTGTTGCAGTTCGGGTGTGGTGGTGGTTGACTTCTCTAAGCACTGGATGCATATATTGTGCAATACATCGCCATACTTTGTTTTTAATTTGATTTCTATCTAATAATTATGGTTTAGAGAAATTGATGCTTTCACTAGCTTTGGGCCATAATCATCACTTTATAAATAACAAAATGTGAATCTTGAAGTTGTAGTATTTGTGTAACAAAACCATATGATCTGACCAACACTTTTAGCTTTAACTTACTTAAATAAACCATATTGGAAATGTACTCAGACGCATATGTAACATATAGTATCAACATCCTTATATTAAAAATAATTATTATTGTAGTGGTGATGGTTTGCCAGACCAAACATCCAATTAAAGTTCAAATTAAGCCACCACTAAGGCACTGGGGTCAAGTTTTTATACGCAGGCAAAAAGAAGTTTCAATGTCTAGTCTTGATGATGGTTAAAGAGTACTTTTCTTTTGTCCTCCCTTTTCTTGCACTGGTAAAAACCATTGGACCCTGCTGGTCCTTTCCCAGGCCCCTACATTTATAGAAAGTGGACTGATCCACATCACTTCCTGTCATACCTCAGAAAAAAACAAACAAACAAATAATAAACCACAGATAAATAGAATCAACAATTATTAACCTGCAAATAAACTCTGCAAAAAATATACATTTAGGAATTAACAATTCAGATGGACAAAGAAATAAAGAATAAAGAGCTCCAAAAATTATTATTATTATTAACTTCTTCTTTCCACCTCTTTTTATTCTGTCTTTTCTTCATGTGGCTTGGAGTAATGGCAGTGACTTCTTGTTATGTCCAAAAAAAAAAAAAAGACAGTTACGATAAACCTTGACATATTTAGACAAGTGCACAGTTTTTAATGGACATTACACACCATGGCTTGGAAAAACAGGAAATTGAATAAAGAACTGACGTCATTCGCGAGCGCCTCCGCTGGCCTTTGAGATGGGCTTTACTCGTTAGCCTTGATTTCCCCCCCTTCCAATCACCCCCCCTTCGCATATTCACCTTTATTTTTATTTCAAAGAAACGTCCGTCCGCGATGACATTAGAGGGTAAGTGTGCAACATGAAACAACGCAAACACTTTTAGGGTAAATAAGCATTTTTTGACATTTTAGCTGTGACTCAGACTCTTGTAGCTTTAAGTTAGCTTTGTAGCTAACTAGCCTCCTCCTCGATGTTCACAGATAAACTTGTTACGTTAACAGAGTAAACTTATGTTGTAACAGACCTACTTTGAATTTTTTTTTTAATAATTAGGTAAATGATTGTCACCCGACACCCTTAATATTTTGGGGTAAAAGTATATATTTATGTGTAAAAGTAGCTAGCTAACTTTAGCCAAGTGAGCTTGGAGGCTAACGATTAAAGAAACTGACCTTATGGTTAAGTTTAAAATAATGTAAACTTTGGCTTCCTTTTGTGTTACGTACAGGTTTCCATTTTAAACATGTTCTCAATTTTATTTTAACATGATTCATGATTTTGTTTATAGACAAATTCAAATTTAATCTAACAATTGATTAGCATTACATTTTTTATTACATTTAGCCTGTTTTAAAGCATAACTTGACATACTAATGGTGCAAAGTGGGCTTTCTGTTGGATCAATAAATAAAACGGTTTATGACTTAAAGTTTTGTTCTAAATTTTACCCATTAGGTCTTACATTTTATAAACAGGTATATCTCTGATAATGACACTTTAGAAATATTTAATCCCTCATACCAGAAAGTAGTCTAATATATATAGAAAAGACCAACACTGAGCCAGCTTTTGGTACGTTTGGTGGAAAATAAAATTAGCATCTTCATGAAGCTGATGAAAAAAAAAAAAAAAAAAAAAAAAAAAAAGCAGGAGATGCTTTAAAGTTTTTGCAATGATTCTGGACTTTAGAAAAAACACAGTAAACCAACAGTGATTGATTGGTGAATAGTTCTGATCTCTATTATCTCACCTTTTTTCATTGTACAATGTGATAATAACATTGTCGGCTCCCGTTGTGCGACAACTTATAAAACGGGGATGCTGATATCTGTTATGACTTCTGTAAACACTGCACAGCTATGAGTCTTGTCCTTCTGCCCATCTGGGTCGCTTTAGAGCAGGGGTGGGCAATTCCAGTTTGTGAAGGCCGGTTTCCAGCAACCTTTAGATGTGAATTGGTTTCATACACCTGAATCAAGTAATTAGATGATTGATAGGACTCTGGAGGAACTAACTGCATACTGATGAGGTAACTCCGCCATTTGATTCAGGTGTGTGGCACCAAGGATGGATCTAAAATTAGCAGGATAACAGTCCCCAGGAACTGGAACTGGAATTGCCCACCCAGTTCTACGAGCTACGAAACTTTCACGGTGCAGTCTGATGATGGGCACATCAAAGTTGTATTCTGCACGACCATTCAGAAAAATCTGATTGACATGAAAAAAAAAAAATCTGGATTAAGAATCAAGACTTGTCCTATGAATGTAGCCTTAGTTTGCCTCAGGAACTGAACTCATACTGTTCGAGGGTATTAAGGCTTCAAAGATGATTTCAATAATTGGCTGAGACCTGAAAAACAAAAAATGTTAGCTAATCAAAGGAATAAACTAATTAATAGCTTACTTTCCATAGTTTATGTACATCTTGCAATGAAATCCAAACTGTTTTTCAGAAAAAGTCAGCGATACTTTAATTAAACTTTCTGAACCTATAGTACACCTTATCAAGTCAGGGGCTGTGTTTAGGCTATTAAATAATTAAAAAATAAAAGTGCATTCTAAAAAAATTAAGATGGGATTAACAGGTTTTCAATGATGCACTAATTAGGTTGACAGAAAATTTTTTTTTCTTCTTTTTGGAAACTTTCAGGAGAGAGCATTTCTATCGTATAAATATTAAACTTATAAGTCTATTGCATAAAGCATCATTTAGATTAAGCAGCTCAAATGTTCCATTAAATATAGAATTACAAAAGTTTTTTTGTCTTTCTAGGTGAGCTGGCAGACAGGGTCAGTCTGGTATTTTCAGAACTGGTTGCTGTGTGGACTGACTGGCTTGCAGGTTTCAGTTCCTGTGCAGTTCAGTAAAGCAACTTGGTTGTTAAAAGGTTTGCAATGAAACCAGCTCAGGAACGTAACCAGGAGAGCCTGCCTCCTAAGAAGAGGGACCTCCCTCTTAGTAACAGCGGTGGAGTTGGAGGGACTAGTGGAGTAGGAGCTGCAGGAGGTACTGCCAGTGCTTCTGCAGGAGGCAACGGAGAATCCGAAGTCGTTTCCATCCAGAACTCTGCAGCCAACAGTGACACTCAGGGAGGGAACTCATCTGGAGAGTGGCAACGAGCTCATCCTGAGCATCATTATGGAGGGGATAATCCTGAGAGCATCTCAGCAGGGCCTGTGGATCAGTACAGTATGATTTATAAAGTGGCTGTTCCTTCTGTAACTTACTCTTCTAGCAGTCTCCACCCAGTGTTAAGCCACATCTCTCCAGCCTATACCGTCCACTCTTCTCTTCTGCAGCATCCAGGTCTTTCCTATCCTCCTCTTGGTTATGCTCATATTCCACATCCATCTCTCCAGTTCGTTAGCTCCCCTTACGCTGCAGTTCCCTATGCAGTCCCCTCTGGCTTTGTCCCCGGATCATTGATTTCTCCCTCAGGGACCATCACTCAGCCTCATGCCGTGTCCCACCTGGTTCCCTATCCATCCGTTATACAGGACGGTGTTGTTTCCCCTCCTCCTCAGGCACAGGGCCATACATTTACCAAAGTTGCAGCTCCAAGTGGTGTTCCACTGATAATGCCTTCAGAGCAGGCTGCCCAGCAGCACATCAGTACTATTGGAGTTATACCTGCCCCAGAGATCAGCTCCAGAGGGCTGCCGATCTTTTATCAACCCCAGGGCAGCAGGGGTCCCTCTGCCACCAGCGACTCCCACATTCCTTTGCAGGGCAACGACACAGAGATTAATGGCAGCGATAAAGAGCAAGGAGTCAGGGAGATCCTACAAGATTCTGCCTACTCCTCCAGAAATGCACATCTGCAACAGGTAGCATCCAGCTCTGCAATGCAAGAGCAGAGCCAAGAACGGGTCCTGCAGAACCGACGACTGGAAGGCCGCATCTCTCCTGGTCAGCGCAGCACACCAGACAGTGATCTGGAGGTAAGGACTCAAAGCCTGGTTATGGAACTTTAAGCAAGATATTAGGATTAGCACCACATTGCAATCCTATTGTTAAATGTTGAAATGACAATGTTGTGTATTTTAAACATAAACCCACATTTTCTTTTAATAGAAAGGTGATAATGTAATGCTAATATTTATTAAATCTGTCTTGATTTATTAAGAGAATCCCTCACAGAAAAGTAATATGTATAGATTTGAGGTCATGTTAAAATGTTTTAACTTCAGTTAAAAATGTATGAAATGTTGAGTTCCAGATGTATGAAATAAGTAAATATTTTCTGTTTACGTTGATATGTTTGTTGTGAAATGTTTGGTGTCTTTAAATCTAAAAGCAACTTTTAAATGTCTTATGTGTGTTTGAATTTAATTCAGAATGATGTCACTTTGACTCCATGTTTTCCTCCCAGGTGCAGCAGGTCGTTGGTCGTCTGGCTACCTCCTGTACAAGTGGCGGAGTGCGAAAGGAGGTCTCATTTGCTCCCCTGAATCTTTCTCAGGGGGTCCAAAGAAGCAGAGATGTCCATGGAGAGAACACAGCTGCTAGGGCTGTGCATGCAGCACAACCGTTTGGTTACAGTGAACATAAACTTACCGGTCTCCAGCAGCCAGGTCACGCTGTCGTGCTCACCAATGGGCAGCCAGTGCTTATTCCTCTCGACTATCACGCTCAGCATCAATCCCAGCCGCTCCAGCACTATCCAGGACAGGCACACGAAGCCTCTAAGGCCTCCATTAACACAAGCTTTAAAAGTTCTGATTCTGCGGGCAGAGCATGTCTCCCTGAAAAGGTAGAGCCGACCACTGCTAAGCGTTATCAGCAGCAGCCATCGGTCCATTCTACAGCAGAGGCAACTCAGACTGCAAGTGTGACACCAGCAGCACCTACCAATAACCCATCACATTTTATGAAGGGGGCAATTATTCAGTTAGCCACAGGGGAGCTGAAGCGTGTGGAGGACCTGCAAACTCAGGATTTTGTGCGAAGTGCAGAGGTGAGTGGAGGGCTCAAGATTGATTCCAGCATGGTGATGGACATCCGGCCCAGCCAGCAGAGACCCGGTCTTGTATCTCTACATTTTACCGTAGGGGAGCAGCAGAGCAAGGTGACCATTGACGTACCCCCAGAGCATCCCTTTTTCGTGTTTGGCCAGGGTTGGTCGTCATGCAGCCCTGAGCGTACGGCACAGCTGTACGGGCTGACCTGCCACCATCTACAGGTCGGAGACATGTGCGTGTCCATCACCTTGCAGCAGCAGCAGCAGCAGCTTCAAACACAGCTGCATAAACAACCACATCACAACTCACAGCAGCAGAACATGTCAAGGACTTTAGGCAAAACCAACGCAGCATTAGGACCTGATCACCAGCTCATGGGGCCTCCTGCACCCCAACAATTGCGGCCTCAGCCTCAATTCAGGGTGGACCGCATCCACAGAGAACGACAGAGGGATGGTGAGAGGGACATGGTAGAAAAGGATGAAGCACATTTAGCGGTTGTTGGACACACTGAATCCCCCACCAGACGAAGTAGGACCTCTATAGAGCACCCAAGGAGTCAGAGCAGTTTCCACTTGCACACAGAGGGCTCTGCTTTTACTGGGACAGGAGTGGCCGCCATGCAGACCACACTGGGTGCCTCTCAGAGGCGCTGGTCTTCGCCTGGCCTCCAAAGGTACAGCATGAAGGGAGAAGAAGGGCCTCGTCCTCAGATAATCACCTCCGGCCACACAAGGCCTTCTTTCATCCCCCAGGAGGTCAAACTGTCCATCGAGGGGCGCTCTAATGCAGGGAAGTAGCATCACATTTGGTAGCAACATTAGGAGAGACTGCCAGGAGCAAGAATGAGTCTGACAAGGAGAGAAAGAGGGGAAAAACAGTGTGAATGTAGCCTCAGAATGTTTGAGATTTTGCACACCTGAAAATATACAAAGACACATAATTTCTTTGCTCCTTTGAGATGTTTTGCTTTAATGAAACACAGCCACAAAAGCAGAAACATTTGGTCTCCCAGTCTGCTGAGGTCTGAATGGATAATGGGAAGCTAAGTAGAACGTATGTAGCTTATAAATGCCTGCCATAGTCCTCACACACTGCTTTTCTCTTCCTCGCTCCCTCCTTTGTCTTCACCTCCTTGTACTCACACCTGGACTTTTTCACACACACTTAAAAAAAAACTACACTGGCTTTACCTTTGGTCTAAAACTCTCACTGAGAAAGCATGGATTACACAACAATATTTGTAGCCTCAAAGCACAGCTACCAATTCTGATGTTAAAAATCATAGCCAGGCATCCTTAAATGCCAAATATCCTAAAAAAAAAACTAAGAATGAACAATATCCCCTTCAGAAACTAGTTACTGACATCAGCAGCTCCTGTGAGGATGTTGATAGTGTGTGTGCACATTACGATGTGCTGCTCCAGCAAGATCAAAACCTCTTCTGTCAGCAGAAATACTCTCTCTAAGTCATTAAGTTTTGGTCATTCAGTCTCCAAAGATAGATACAAGATCCTCTTTCTGGCCAAATATGGCTTCTTTGACTTTTCTTACAATCGAGTGGCGATAAATCAAGTGATTCAATCAATTTCCTGTCCCTTGATTTTAATCATTATGCATGCATTTGCCAATATGGCAGAAAGTGAAATAATGCCTTGTTCCCTCTAAAACAAAGTTTAGCATTCCAGTGTGATTGTGTCATTAAGAGTTCGAGGCCTCAGAACTCCATCTACCAGGTTGGTGAACATTAATACAGTTTAATGGAATTAATACAGAGACGCTGGTTGCTTCTCACCAAAGCCATCTATTGGAATGATTGAATGAGACTAACTTATGGCTTCACTGGCTGCACTGCCATATTAACCATTGATCTCCCAGAAGTCTCCTAGTTTGCCTTTAGAGGAAAAGATTTGAGTGTGAGTTAGTGTGTTGAGGGGATTTGCTTCTTTTCTCAGTTCCTTAAAAAAAGCAATAGTTCTTCCTGCAGCCTTTGCTTGCCCTGCCCTGTCCCAGGAAGTTGATTGTGTCTGAGGTGTGCAATCCCATCCCCCTTCTGACCTGCTTTAATAGGTGATGCACTTTTATGGTTGTCATTTTCACCAGATTAAATAATTAAAATTGTGGAAGAACAATGGCTGTGTCTCAGTGTGCACCCTAATCACTAGATAGGGCACTATATAGGGGTTACGCCAATTTAAATGAGTGTCTGAACGTCTAGTGGATAAAAAAGTAGTAGGGTTGTCACGATACCAAACTTTTCAACTCGATACCGATACTAAGTAAAATATTTGATACACGATACAATTTTCGATACCACAAGGATAAAAACAAAGACTCCAAAATTCTACAGAAATATTTTCATTAATTAACAAAATAAAATGAATACAATAAACAATAAGAACAATATTTTGAACTTGTGTTCTGTGCACAATATGAAGCAAGCTTGATAAAAAAAACTTATAAAATTAAAAGTAAGTGTTCCTGACACTAGCCAAACCAGTTAAAAACAAAAATAATTCTCAGCAGCCCAAACTGTTAGAAAAAATGTCTGAAACTGAAAAGTGCACAGAATTATACAATCACACAGTGTTCAGAAAGTGCATTTTCCTGTATTCTGCTTTTTAGATGAATGACTGTTTAGGTGCCGCTGGTGGTAGCACTGTATCGATACTTTTGAAAATGATTATCGTACCCGGATACAACGTTTCAGTATCGATACTTTTGACAACCCTAAAAAGTAGTGGACTTGAAATTTCCCACAATGCACCTAGAAAAGTAGTGATCATCCAGGGTCAGTAGATGAGCAGATATCTCCCGGAATGCTTTGCGAGGAGAGCTCTCCTCTCAAAGCATCAGGGGATTTGTTGTCACAGCAGTCCACTCTCACAACAAATAACAAAGATGGCACAGGCACTGCGTGGTGGAGGCGGAGTAATGTGACCCAACTGGTAGCGAAAAGTAGTGATCATCTGTCCAAAAGGTCAGTTAACTGAGTTCACTATAAAGTCCACTCTATAGTCCCTGCTCTATATAGGAATTGAGGGATTAAAGGATTAGGGCGGACGTTCGGGCACAGCCATTGTTTTTCTCTCTATCACTTAGGGTAACTCGTCTTTATCGTCATCATTAACAGTAGTTTCTTGGTGTTGTAGTTTAAAAGTAATCAATATTTTAAAATACAGTTGTTTCCTTGTTTCAAAGATTCCTTTTTTCGTTGCAACACAATTTTGTCTGTGTTGCTCAGATTTCACCCTTTGTGTTAATTCAGACCCTCTTAAGTAGGAACCACAGCAAAAATTTGTTTTTCTTTAACTTGTTGATTGAAGGGAATATGTTTGAAGTAGTGTTGTGAGTTTTGTCAGTTTTGTGGCGAGAAAAAAAAACAACAAAAAACTGACATGTATTTTTTTTTAACTGTTTACAAATTAGCCTAGACGAATGCTGCAGTTTCTTCCGTTTAACATATTTCTATATTGAAAAACTGAAAGTGCAATTAGATCATACATCAGTTCATCCAGAGGTCTCTAATCTGATAACATTCCTTGTGCAGACATTCCTATCAGGAAAGATAAGTGACACAATAATTTATAGTCCTTTTTCTCACTTTTAAATTTGTGATTATTCACTTGAAAACATTTTTTCTTGCCTGAAAGCTGCTGGCTGTGGCGTAAATTTAGGTAATTTTCTCCTGATTACACAAAGCTGTTGCTTTTACTAGTCCTCTCTGTACGGATTTTCCCTCTTGGCCTTATAGCTTTTTTTTTTTTTCAGAAAAATTTTAAGTAAGAGGTTCCAGTTGTTTGAAATGAGCAATTCAATAAAACACAATAAGTATTTTTTTTGTACCATAAATACCTGATTTTGGAGGATGTGAAGTGTGATAATAAGTTTCACTGCTGAAGCCCGAATCAATACATCTAATGCTGAAGGCATTTCAGTAATGCTATAATGGACAAAGGCAAAAACAGTTGAGTTTTACCCATCTGGCACTTATCAGGCATTTGTCAAAGTGAAAGCAATATTTAGTACAAGTTACCACGTAGTCTTGGCATTTTCTATGCAGTTATCTGAGCACGATGTCCAGGATTGTCTTCAGTGTGGTTTATCTTACACAGCAGCACCTCTGGTTGTTTTGATGCAGGTATTGAACTTTTTTTTTTTTTTGACCCATTTTATATTAATTTGAAGCAGTGTTTTTTTTTTTTTTTCCCCTGTCTGGCAATCTCTAGCTGTCTGATATACTGTACCGTTGTCTTCTACCTACTTTAATGCCGTACATTTAAAGCCAAATCACTAGAGACTCTGTCTTTATTACTTATGTTACTTACCGGTATGTTGAGGTCACAGTATGTTTAATGGTTTCTATCTGGCATCATCAGTTTAACCTCATCCTTCTCTACAACAATGCTTTTCGATTTTTAATTCTTTCCTTTTAGTGGCATGGGCTGTTTCAAAGATAAATTTAGCTTGTTGTGTCTTACAAAATGAATTTTTATCCACTTTGCCGATGGTCCGTTGTAAGTTATTGCACTAAATGTCCTTCAGTGTTTTGAAATGAAACGTTGGTAAATTGAAGACTTTTCAATTGTCTAGCACACAAAATCACGGAGGCGTTGCAGATTTTGTGTGCCTGTAGATAGATGTATTTTCTCTGTGTAGATAGCTTCGATGATGCTTGTTGTTAATGCCTTAAACTCAGCTCTGTACAATGTGTCTAAAGGAAAGGATGGAGTCGATTTTTCTGGTAGACTCTGTTCAGGTTGTACGAGAGCATTTTGGAAAGGTCAGGTTGACGAGCAGAAATTTACACATGCTGATGAGGCGGCAGTGGGTTCCCCCTGGCAGGGTTTTTATACAACCTGTTGCCTCCCGTTTAGTTTAGATTTTTTACATCTTTGTTTTTTTTTTTTTATTTGTGGATTTTTAGTATATGGAAGAGAAAGGAAAAGAAGCTTTTTCTCAGCACTTTCTACATGATGAGTTCAAGAGTGTCAGGTGTGGAGGGCAGTCCTATCCCTCAACACATGCATGGGGGATGCACAGAGCAGATGTTTTTTTATTTCATTTTTTTTATTGTTGCACAAGATCTGTAGGGTTTTTTTATGAATAGAATCAGTGGGTTTTGTAAGGTCTGATGCTGCGTCCCAAAGTTCCTGGACAACAGAGTGAAAAACCGCCAAGCTGCACAAATCAGCTTTCATCAGTGGTGACAGTTCATCTTATAATAAACCGCCAACATGAACTTAGTAAGATTATGGTGTCGCTGATGTCAAATTAAATCAGGAGAATGCAAATGGTTAAAAGTTTTAAATAAGACTGTATTTTCAGATTTGACTTTTTTTTTTTTTGTATAAGGTGACATTACGTTTTGTGGTGTGAAAGTTAAACTGAACTGAATTTTTTTTTCCTTTTCTTTTTAAAATGCCTAAATCTGCAAAATATATGCAATTATGTAAATGTAACTTTCAATCCTCAAGTATAATCCAGGTTGTATGAACTTTGTATGGTGAGTCTTAATATTGTATGGCCGTACCAACATGTATTGATCTCTATCAGAAGCCTTAGAGTTGTTGACCCAAAGTGCTCCCTTAGGATAAAAAAACAAACAAACAAAAAAAAACCCACACCTACCTGACTTTAAGAAAGCATTAATATCTCTATTTTGTTGCATTTTTATTTGTACCCTTTTTTTTTTTAATAAATAGATTTGTACTGTATATTTGTACCTCTGTGAACTTATTAGGGTGTTTTTTTTTGTTTTTGTTTTTTACTTGTTTTGCTGTTTTTATTTTATGTACTTTAAGGACACAAAGATATTGTATTTTTATCGTTACAGCTAACATGGAGATATTGCATTTATCATGTTTGTTAAGTAAACACAATATAATATATAAATATATATACAAATATAAATATAATCGCTAAACCTAAATGATGTGCCGTTTCTTTTTTTTGATGTTTATTATTTGTACATTTCTAATTGTCAAAAGTGATTAACACACACCTTTCCCCTCATGTGGAAGGATTTCTGTTCTCTGAACATCTGACCTCATTTCTTCAGCTTCAACATCCGACATGTGCAGGTGCTTCAACGGCATTTAAATCGGGTTAAAATGAGAACTTGACTTCAATTTTAACAGTTTTTTTTTTTACATTTTTGAGGTTTA